ATATCTTTATTGTGCATCTATTAAAATTATTACTAAATCGACAATAAAGTCACTTTGTTAAACTGTAAAGTAAAATTTTCAACATCAAAAGTGGACAGAGCAGAGATTAAGGTCCCCTAATGCAATTCACAGCTATAAATAAAGGGAAAACACTTCACAAACATCACAAAATACAGAAACTGGTAACGTAACATATGTTTTTACATTTCAGTCTTTGTACTGTACATATGCAGTGTGTTAAAACTCAGTATTGTTTTGTAAATAAAGTTTGAGTGACACAAGGTTATATAGCAGCATTCCTGAACAATCTGTGTTCCTCTCACTTTTAAGTCCCAGGAGATCTTGACGAAACTCCAGCTCCAGAAATAGAAACACGAATTAGCAGTTATAGCCACAAAAACGACAAAAATAGCACAACCTACAGGCTACAGGAATAGAAACAATTCCTTTGCTGTCTTTTCAATAATTTCCCGTAAACTTTGGCAGAGCGTGAAGAATAACAAGGCCACTGCTTATGGCGGAAACCAGGTGTCGGGTTTAAAATAATTAGCACAACACAGAACAGATGTGGCGGCGCGACATCTGGCTAGCATAATGCTAACGGAAGAACAGCGTCTCGAATGCTACACATTTGGCTGGTCACGTGACTGAGCCTCTAGAGATTACAGTAGTGCGTGCTGCTGGATGTTGCATACCGAATACATACCGGATGAGGACATTTCCCGGCCATGTCCACACATTCCAGCATTTTATACAGATATGCTAAATTATCTCATCATTCTTCATTTTAGAAATCCTGTGGAAAAAAAGTTTTGCACATAGCCTCAGTTACAGGAATCAACACATTTCTGGAGAAGCCTTAAATGTAATTTGTCAGTACAGATCTGTCTTTATAGTAAACAAAAACACAAAAAAGATAAAAATGAAACAGCATTTAGACTGATCCTGGCTCTCTCATCTTTTGTGCCGTAGATGCTATGATTCCTATCAGATTCCTTAAATCTAGCAGAATCAAATGCCCAAATCTGAAGATTAGAGATTAAATTAATGTGAATTCATTCATTCATGCATGTATTTTCTTTTCTGCTTAGTCCCTTTATTAATCTGGGGTTGCCACAGAGGAATGAACCACCAACTTATCCAGCATATGTTTTAAGCAGCAAATGCCCTTCCAGCTGCAACCCATCACTGGGAAACTAATGTGAATTCATATTGTGCAATTTATTCAATTAAAATTTTCCAAACTGCCCTAAGTGACCCTGGTCCATGGAACTATTCATTTATTCATTCATTTTCTTTTCAGCTTAGTTCCTTTATTAATTTAGGGTCACCACAGCGGAATGAACCGCTAACTTATCCACCATATGCTTTACGCAGCGGATGCCCTTCCAGCTGCTACCCATCACTGGGAAACATCCATACACTCTCATTCACATACATACACTACGGCCAATTTAGCTTACCGATTTCACCTATAGCGCCTATTTCACCTATACCGATTTCACCTATGTCTTTGGACTTGTGGGGAAAACCAGAGCACCTGGAGGAAACCCACGCGAACATGGGGAGAACATACAAACTCCACACAGAAATGCCAACCGACCCAGCCGAGGTTCAAACCAGTGATCTTCTTGCTGTGAGGCAACAGTTCTACCCACTGCGCCACCGTGACGCCACCAATTATACGTGTTATTTATTTTTTAGGTTTATTCAATAAAATAACACATCTGAAAGCTGAATAAATATAAGCTTTCATTTGATAAATGGTTTGTTAAGATGAGGCAATATTTGGCCGAGATCTAGATCCTGGAATATTTAGAGAAATCTGGAATCTGTGGGTTAAAATAAAAATACTCAGAATATTTCCTTTAAAACTGTCAAAATTAAGTACTCAGTGACGCATAATACTAAAACAAAATCAATTTTGATATCTTCACAGTAAGAAAAGTATAAAATATAATGGTTACTTCATATTCTGATTTCATTCATTCATTCATTCATTCATTTTTCTTCGGCTTAGTCTCTTTATTCATCTGGGGTCGCCACAGCAGAACGGACAGCCAACTTATCCAGCATATGTTATATCCAGCGGATGCCCTTCTAGCTGCAACCCAGTACTGGGAAACACCCACACCAACACAGCAGAACATGCAGAAATGCCAACTGATCCAGCCGGGACTTGAACCAGCGACCTTCTTGCTGTGAGGTGGCAGTGCTTACCACTAAGCCACTGTGCCCCATTCTAATAACTTTTGGCACAAAATAAAATCTATAATTTTGACCCATGCTGTGTATTTTTGGCTGTTTAACATGAGAGGTCCATTTGTTCAGCATAAGATGCTTTGTGGTCCAGGGTCACCAATGTGTAATTTTAGGGAAGCGACATTTTTTACTTGGAAAGTACATTTAAGCCGACAACTATGTACCATATCTTCTCTTAACGTTGTATTTTGTTTAACCTTAGTGCACTATTTACCTATTCCCACATGGAATTTGCGCACACTAAAATTCACTGATTTCCGCAGATTTTTAGCCCATCATTAAGTCTATGTATTTACTTGTGTAACTTTATATTTACAATTTTTTTAATTTTTTACTAATATTTTGACATAATATTAGTTTTAAATTTTTATATGATTTATTTAGAATATAGTTTGTAAAGTAATATTTTCTGTCTTTGAGTAAATATATTATATAAGAGACTTGCTTTGTTTACCGAATAAGTAGATTTGAATTGTAAACATTTAATAACATTCATTTATTCATTCATTCATTTTCTTTTTGGCTTAATCCCTCTATTAATCTTGGGTCACCACAGCGGAATGAACTGCCAACTTATCCAGCATATGTTTTACGCAGCGGACGCCCTTCCAGTCGCAACCCATCACTGGGAAAACATTTAATAACAGTTAAAATGTATTATTGTTTATTTTATATATTGTTTTTCGTTATGATACTCCTAAAATTATAACACATAAGTCCGCAGATTTCACATAAAATTCTCTGCAGAAATAGCAAAAAATGTCTGCAGATTGTGTCTGGCCCTACCTATGATATACTGTAAATCTTTTAGGGGGGAAGAGTGTAAAGATACGTATAGGTACTGCAGCTGCAGCAGTTAGAAAAGAGAGAGAAAAAAATGTTGTGCCCCTTTAAGTATAAAGTTTAAGGATTGTGTTAAATATGGGGGCTCTGTAAACAAACTTACAAAAGTTAGATCTGTCATTACAACAGCCCACCCACAGCCGGACATCCTGTGACTCACAACACCAACACCTGACTGCTCAATACTTCCCAACCTCTAGATCAATGTTCCATAGTGACCCAACACTGCATCTTTCCGACGTGTCCCTTATTTGACAGCTTAATCTGATGATCATTTAATTAGGAGTGATTTGGCTTTTTGATAATTACCTTAAATTCAAGACGTCCACATGTGACATTCTGCTTGGTGTTGCTCACATCCTCTGATGCAGAATTTTGTACATAAATGGGCAGTTTTGTGCTCCTCCAAGCGCAGGGTTAAAAAACAGGAAAAAGCAGCGCCGTCTGCAGAGGTGGACAGCAAGGACAGAATAATACTCTGTATCAGCATTTCTGAAAATCAGGTCTCTGGACTCGTGGGCATTCATATGAAATACCCAGAGGGTCAGTAAAAAGTTTGTGAGCAAGGCTGTAAACAAAAATCTCAATTTTGGAGTGGACTGCCATTTTTCTCCTTTTTAAAATCTTTTATTTTCATTTTTTTGGTTATGACTCAGATTGTGTGTGATTTCGACTCCTAAGTTCTTGTGTCGTGAACATGAAAGAGGCTAGTCTAAATGTTGCGTTTGACCAATCATTCCTTTCTGTCTTTAACAACATGCTTAATGTAAAAGACTAAACTATAAATTGACTGAAAGAAGTGTGTAAACTAATCTCTATGACGTATTATAAGTGTAGTAGATCTGTATTATTACCATATCTCTATGAAGATTTCCTCCGTCGTATTATTCCAGATTGTAGCACCAATATGACATATGGGAATCAAAAGATTTTTAATGTCTTAATCCATGTGTCTTAATATATGTGTCTACCTCAGGTTACATGATCCTGTAGTATTTAGTTTTCATGTAGTTCTTCAAACTTGATTTTATAAAATGCAGTGATGTGCTGACAGGGTTTTATACATGTTTGCTCTTTATTTTTAACACTATTAGCTGGCAACATTAAATGCATTGCTGTTAGATTGTATTCTATAATGCTAATTAGTTTAAAAGTTCGTTAATGCATGTAACTTTTAAAACTAAGGTATGGATTTGTTTAAATAAAAGCTTTAAGTGAAGAGTATGGCATTCAGTGTAATCATTTTAACATAAAATATATATACTGTGTGAAGTATTTAACTCAAATTTTAACACTGATAAGGAGTTTATATTTTACAAGTATTCTCTGTAGGAGTACTATTTTAACTACAAAAAGAGTTAAAGTTTAACAAAAAAAAATGTGTTAATTTATCTAAAAAAAATTTAGTTACTTTAACTCTGTACTGGAGTTAATTTGATGGTCACGCATGTACACTCAGATTGAGTTAATTTTAACTTCTAGGGAGTTTATTCCAAAGACCAAAATTTGCAGTGCATTGTCTCCCTTTCGTTTTGGCATGTTTAAAAGCTGTAAAGGTGACATGGTGGCTCAGTGGTAAGCACTGTCACCTTACAGCAAAAAGGTCACTAGTTTAATTCCTGGCTGGGTCAGTTAGAATTTTTTGTGTGGAGTTTACATGTTCTCCTCGTGTTCATGTGGGTTTCCTTTGAGTCACCCAACTACCCCATAGTCCAAAAACATGCGCTATAGGTGAATTGAATAAGGTAAATTGGTGGTAGTGTATGAGTGTAAATGAGAGTGTATGGGTGTTTCCCAGTACAGGGTTGCAGATGGAAGGGCATCCGCTGTGTAAAACATATACTGGATAAGTTGGCAGTTCATTCCGCTATGGAGACCCCTGATGAATAAAGGGACTAAGCCTAAGGAAAATGAATGAATAAAGGAAAGCTGCAAATTGAAGAGCTTCTAAGATACGTATATGTGATATAAGCTGATGTGGAGGAGCAAAAAAAATCAAAGTCTTTATGTTGGTAAATTTTAAAGTACCAAAACCTGATATTCAAGAAAAGGGTTAAATTGGTGCCGTGACCCATGGTGAACTTGGGAAAACATCAGTCTTCTGCATGGCCTCAAGAGGCACACTAACAACTTACAATAACGGCTACAGTCTTTAGCATCTTGTTAGCATGGCCCATTCAATGCCTGTTTGGTAGTGTAATAAAAACCATATATAGTAGTTGTGTGAGTAAATCTTCCTCTTTGGGCCTCAACAGGTGCATGGTAGAAGCTGTGGTCTTTAGTGTCTATCTTTCTATGCCATAAATGCCAGTTCTGATCCTGGTCTGAATGGAAAAAGTACAGTAGACCTGGAGGTGATAAATTGGTGCGGTGACCCAGAAGGAAGTTTTTGTGTGAGTAAATCTACCTCTCCTGTCCTCAAGAGGTGCACTGGCTAGTGATGGTGAAAGCTGTGAGCTTTATTGTCTACTTTTCTATGCCAGAAATGGCCGTTTTCATCCTACTCTGAATGGGAAAAATACAGTAGACCTGGATGGGGATAAATTGGTGCCATGACCCTGAAGGATTTGAAGTTTTCATGTGAATAAAACTACCTCTCTTGGCCTCAAGAGAAACACTTGCTACTGATGGTAAAAGCTGTGGCCTTTAATGTCTACCTTTCTATGCCAGAAATGGCCGTATTTACCCCACTCTGAATGGGAAACGCACAGTAGAGGTTATAAATTGGTGCCGTGACCCAAAAGGATTTAAAGTTAAGGGGATGAGTGTAAAGAGGCCAGTAAAAATTTCGCCACACTAACTTGCTGTAAAGGCAACAGACTTTAGCATGTTTGTTAGCAAGGCCCGTTAAATGCCAGTTTGATGGAGTGTAATAGAGGCTAGGAATAGGAGTTGTTTGAGTAAACCTCACCCTCAGAAAATAGAAGCTGTTTGAAAAACATCCCTCACCTGGCCTCAAGTGATGCACTAGCTATTGACGCCATGCTATTTCAAATCTCGCTTGGTCCGAGGAAAGCAGAACCAGCCCCAGAATGTGGGGAATGAGAGTGAGGTAAGGGGTAAAAGTAATGGAGGCCCGCATGTTGCAGCTATGTGATGCAAGAGTCTTTACCATCCTTGTAGGTGCACACACCCACATGCCGCCATACCGGAAAAGCTAATCAGAATCTCATTTAGAGCGGGGCAAGCAAAAGCAGAAGGGTTACATTGGTGTCATGAATGGTTGGAATGAGGTTTAGGGTTAAGTTCAATGAGGGCAACCAAATAGGGGAGTAAACCTCACTCCCTTGGCCTCAAGAGGTGAACTAGTGACTGATGGCAGAGGCTGCGGTCTTTCAAGTCTCCGTTAGTACGTCATTCCCCCAAGTCAGAATGGGCCAAGTAAAAGTAGAGGGGTTACACTAGCTTGTGTTTACAGCATCAAGAGGCACAATGCTGCAAGCTTCACCAAGGTTTGCTTGACCATGCTAGTCTATCTATAACTGACAGGAAATTAAAGATATGTGGTCTGTTTTGCATTTATTTATCAACTGTACAAATATTACTTGATGTCCAGTCTATTTTCCAACACACTAAGTATGAATGCGTATCAAGATCTTCTTAATAAATATGTGAAACTGTTTAACTTATGTTGGCGAGTTCCTCAACAGAGTGCATCCCATCGGAGCCAACTCTGTCATAAGACTAGCTCCTTGTTTTAACAGCTACAAATTCATAATGAACTGCAACACATTCCTCTACAGACACCATCCATGATTGGTATGTATAACAGTTAGATATATTTGTAATACATGCATGCGTGAGATGAGTTGAAATTAAGGTGACAGTGGGGGTGATTCGCCCCCCTCATGCTTGTTCTGCTCTGGGAGAATCAGGCAGGGGAAAGCTGAGGTGATTCACACATGAGTCAACGGCTATCAGCTATATAAGTCCACGCACTCATGGAGCCCGGCATCATACAGTCCTCACATCTCAAAGGTAAGCCACCTTCACTCATACACTATCTGACACTTCTATGAGGTAACAGTGTAGTGTTTTCATTTATAGCCTTTAGAATGCTATTTTCCTGTTTATTTGATTTAAAAACTAAATTTAATATTCCAAAACGGGAATACAAAAAGATTAGAGAGCTTTTGGAATTAAGCAATCATTGTTTATACAAGAGCAACATGCACTTTAGGGAATTTGCTATATTGGAATCTAATTGTAGGCACGGGGGCTGTAGTTTTGTTAATTTAGAAGTAAAATTGAGTATATTAGATTGTTTGATGTTGCAGACTGGAGAGGCCTGAGGTTCGCGGAGATGCTCATTGTAATGCCTATATCGCATTAGAGTTACATTAGAATTTTTGGTACATGGAAAATCTGTTTTTAATCTTAGTAGTAAAACTTACTAAGTAGAAAGTCTTGCAGATTAATTGTGATGTGCAATCTAGATCCACTTTAATATCAAGCCTGGATTGCGAGATAGTTAAATGACTGGACAGCTTTAAATACTGGATGCAAATATTGAAGTATGAAGTAGTTTTTAGGGATAAAGACTTAAAAACAATTGAATATAAAAACAAATTTCTCTCTGCAATTGCTAGTAAATTTCACAAACACTAAGAAACAGCAAATAATACATTGATGTAATATTTTAAGTACACAGTATTTTCTTGAAAACTGTAATCAAATAAGGTTAATTAAAAAAACAATTTTTTTTACAATACTATGAAGTTTTGAACTTGAAGTTTTACAAAAGACGTAATTATTATTTAAAAGAATATTAGGAATAGATTACATTTTTACATTTAGTAATGCAAGTTTTTTTTTCAAAACATTAATGTTTTTTTTTAATCAATGAAATTAGAAAAGCATCTCTTTATTGCATTTTATTATAGGATTCAAATAATGTTTACTGATTTCTTCTCACAGGTATTGCTGAACTATTGCAAAGAGTATACAGGAAGTATGCGTTTTCCAGCTCTCCGCTCAACCTGTATTTTGAGCATGCTCAGTTTGATTCATTGCATTCCCGTTCATCAGCATGACCGGAAAAATGTCAAACTGCAGGCAAAGACCATCATCGTCAGAATCAGGGAACACATTGACGGGGTAATGAGTTAAAACTCATAAATTTAACATGAACTAATGCATGCAAAATTCATCGAGACTTATTTTTTCTTTCCATCTCATCTTCTCTCACAGCAAAATTTACTTCCAACGCTCATCATTGGGGATCCAGGACATTATCCAGAGATTCCCGCTGACAAACCCATCCAAGGGCTCGGCTCCATCATGGAAACCATTAATACCTTCCACAAGGTTCTTCAGAAGCTTCCAAATAAGCATGTTGACCAGATACGCCGAGATCTATCCACACTTCTGGGTTACCTGGAAGGCATGGACTGCACACTGAAGGAATCAACAAATGGGAAAGCGCTGGACGCTTTTCTAGAGGACAGTGCTTCATATCCCTTTACTTTAGAGTACATGACTTTAAACAGACTGAAACAGTTTATGCAAAAGCTGATCGATAATCTGGACCAGCTGAAAATCTGCTGATTAGCAGTTATAGTATACTATTAAAAAAAAAAAAAAACTATATATATATATATATATATATATATATATATATATATATATATATATATATATATATATATATATATATATATATATATATATATATATATTTATAGACCAAAGCATTGCTATTATGTAAAAAGAATGGATGCATTACCTGATGGAAGGCTAAAAACATAGCTTGGGATGCCAAGCAATCTTGTCCTTGCTATGTAAACAAGCACTGGCAATCCGATACTTGCACACATACTTGCTGCTTGCAGGATGACATCAGCACTTGCTGAGCATGTATAATGATGTCACTGTGTTACCAGAAGAAGCAGGTCAGAAGCTGCTGGGAAGCTGGAATTATGGCCTCGTTGTACTTCTTGCTGCAACAACACCAGCAATGTAGGATAAAACAGAAATACACACATATGTATATAATATTATATATTTATTTTCCTACACAGTATGAATCTATGCACTTTGAATATTCAGTGATTATTGTTAAGACTTTTGTATTTTTTGTGTATTTATGCTTTTTTTTTTTATAATGTTTCCAATAAATATATAGATATGAATAAATGACATGACATAAATGATTGTGGCCAACTATTAACAGCTCTTTTGTTTTGGTTATTAAAACCATAAATTATACACAAAAATAGCACTTTGGTTAAACAGGATTCAATTGTTGTGTTTCCACGTGGTTACACTTACTAACAATACTGTATGATGTTAAACCAGCTTAAAATTGAACATGAACAGATGACGTAGATGAAACATGACTTAAATATTTCTATTTAACTTGAATGAATGTTTTTTTTTAAACGGGTATAATTCATGTTAAATGAACAAACATTAAGAGCTGGTTTAACATCATAGAGTGCTGATAAGATATTGTGCACTATAAAACACAAACGACCACACACAAATCCTTCATGTTGTCCAAACACAAATGAATTAAGTTGAATAATTTGTACAAATTTAAGTGGATTGAAAAAATAATAATAATTAAATTGGGGGAAAAACATCAGGAACTGTGTTGTTTCAACTCATTTTATGTAGTTTGAACAATTCTTCTGAGTGTGGTGTAATCACGTGGAACCACTGTCCATGGTTAAATCATGTGTAACAGCAGTGCTGTTTTTTTGTTTTGTTATATACAGTTGAAGTCAGAATTACTAATTCTGTTTAACTGGGATGTTTTCAACACATTTCTAAACGTAATGGTTTTAATATCTCATCTCTAATAACTCATTTAATTAATCTTTGTCTTGAGGACAGTAAAAAATATTTTACTAGATATTTTTAGAGACCTAATTAACTAGGTTAATTAGGCAGGTTAGGGGAATTTGGCAAGTTATTGTATATCCATGGTTTGTTCTATAGACTATCGACAAAAATATATAGCTTAAAGGGGCTAATAATTTTGAACTTAAAATGGTTTTTAAAAATTAAAAACTGACACCGAAAATAAAACATGAGACTTTCACCAGAAGAAGAAAATATCATCAGACATACTGTGAAAATGTTCTTGCTTTGTTAAACATTTGTGAAATACTTAAAGAAAACAATATTCAAAGGGGGCTAATAGTTCTGACCTCAACTGTGTATATATATATAGTATGCTTGACGTACATGTAACTCAATGTTAGTGTGACAAACATTTCCAACGCAGCCAGAACTAGTTCTAAGATCAGTAAGCACTTAAGCAATTTTTGCTAATTTAATTTGCTTAAAACAACGTAAAATAAAAATTGTGGATGTAATTACAGTTCAAGATCATTTGCGGCAACCATCCTGACATTATTGTAAAACATTACAAAAAGTGCATTACCGAGAAAACTATTCTTAGGTGCATTTTAGATACTGCATTAAATAAATATTTTTTGTCCGTCCAATCAAACATACAGTTGAAGTTAAGATAATAAGGGGTTACAAATTTGGACCTTAAAATGGCTGTTAAAAAATTTAAAACTGCTTTTATTCTAGCTGAAATAAAACAAATATGTTTATAACAAATGAATATTTTGTACAATTTCAATAGTATTATAAAACAACAGTTTTTTATTAACCTTATTTGATAACATTTTACAAGAAAATACTGTTTACTTTAAAAATACATTAATTTAATGTATTATTCGCTGTTTCTTAGTGTTTGTGAAATTTACTAGCAATTTCAGAGTGAAATTTGTTTTTATATTCAATTGTTTTTAAGTCTTTATCCCTAAAAATGCTTCATACTTCAATATTTGCATCCAGTATTTAAAGCTGTCCAGTCATTAAACTATAGTGCAATCCAGGCTTGATATTAAAGTGGATCTAGATTGCACATCACAATTAATCTGCAAGACTTTACTACTTAGTAAGTTTTACTACTAAGATTAAAAACAGATTTTCCATGTAACACAAATTCTAATATCAGACATACTGTGAACATTTTCTTAGTCTGTAAAACATAATTTGAGAAAAAATTGAAAAAGAAAAAGAAATTCAAAGGGGGATTAATAATTCTGACTTCAACTATACATGCTGGCATTACTTTCTTTTATAAAGTCAGTAAAAACAAAAAGTTTTTTTTTTTCAGAATTTATCAACAAGTACACAAGTTATTTAACAAAGGATGGCAGAAATAGACTCCTGGCATTTATAAAAGTACATCTGTTTTCAAAGATTGAGGAGAGCAGTTAAATAATGACAGCTAAGCCACATGTAGACAAAGTCCATATTGACAACAGCCGCCAACTCATCCAGTCTACAAACCTCTAACTTTGTAAGGTTTTTAAAAAAAACTGTATCTGTACTGCACCACGGGATATGAAACTTGTCATGGATTTCCAAATACAGAAGGAAACAAAGTTTCACGATATCAACAGCTTTTCCTTCAGTTTTTATAAAAACACAATGGAGCCAAAGCATTTAATTCCATCCTCTGAGAATTTTGGAAGACATTAACATGTTCCTTATCTCAGCTGCTGAACCATTTGCTCTTCTTGACTGCAGTTTTGGTGTTTGATTTGCCCATCAGTTTGTTTTTGTACTGGTTCACCAAACTGTCGAAGCGAGCGTCCTCTCTGTTCTGGAATTTTCTCTTCGCAGGTTTGCCAGGCTGAAACAAGCAGACAAAGGAAATATAAACAAAAATGTAATATATACAAAACATTATCATGCTGAGAATTGTATGAGAAGGACTATATGTTTTTCTTGTCACTGGAGATTTGGTAGGTGTGTAGACACTGTGTGTTTTTATTATATACAATCTGATTTATTTATGAACAAACTAATCGAATGCATGAATAGACAAAACTTTCATTCAACTCTTTGAGACTTACTTTCATATTCATGCTGATTTTCGAAGTGGATTTAGACATGTTCCTCTCTTTCCTGCTGGGCGTTTTCTTCAATTTTACCACAGGTTGTTTCCCTTTATCACGTTTCCTGAGGAATAGTTTGAGAATCAATGTAAATAACAGTCTATTTACATGGTGGACTTTGTAAATGGACAATCAATAGCCGCGTTTCCACTATCGCGCCTAAAGCGAGCAAGCCAAGGCCAGTGGCGTTTCCACTGTCACTTCCGGGGCCTAATCGGGCCAAAGCGGGGCTTTCTTGGGGCCAGCGGCCGGCCTTTTTCGGCCCGCCGAATACCTTGGACCAAAGAGGGCCAGCCGGGGCTTCGGGGCGGAGTGAAAGGAGAGGCGGGCACAGTTTTCCGATCGCACACGAGTACATGCGCCAAACACATAACAAATAAATAAATAAGAGAAAGAAAACATCTGGAACAAATTATAGGCTGGGGTCTTTTTTGCATATGATCGCCCTTATGTTTCTCTTTTAAATGTAAGGTTGTTGCATAAAATGATAGTTTTAATAAGTCACTTTTCTTTGCTGCATCTCTTTGATGTTTCAATAACGCATACTAATCTTTAGACCATATTAAAGACACAGCAGACAGTAAAGGATTTCCAGAGGTTTTGTCAAGTTTAATAAGTGTTTTTGCGCGTTTAGATGCCTGTGTAAGTGTGTGAGACCGAGTAAAAAAGCGCTCCATTCATAGCTCTGTTGATGCCGCGAGCGGCTTTTTTTCTTTTCTTTTTATTGTTTTAATTTATTTTGGAGATAATACACTATATGAATACAACAGAAAGACATTAAACTTCACAAATTTCATGTACGCTTTTGTAGGCTCAAAACAATAGTGTCATATCTAGATAAAATAGCCTAAGCTATATTGAAATAATTTAAAGAATTACAAATATCTGATAGGCCTATAATAAAATCACATTAAATAAATAAACCAATATAAAACTAACAAAAGCTATAGCTATAACAATTAGGTACTATATCAAACTGTTTCAAATTTATATTAAACTTTCATTTTTCAAAAGCCTCTTTGAAAAAAAGATTTTCTAAAAAATAAACACCGGAAAATGTTTTAAATAATATTTATAAAGTATTTGGATACGATGAAATTAATCAAATCATGCAAACAGAGCATTTTCGGGGTGAGTGAACGCAGAAACTAGGCGACCTTTTTTTTCTGTCTTCCAGCTGCGCAGCACTTTTTTGACGGGGAAAACGGCAAGTTCAAAATGTGTTCTGTATCCTCAAACAAGTGTGTATGTTTTTATATAACGTGGTAAAATTAAAAAAGGAAATTTAAAATACATAAAGAGCTTTATTAGTGCATAGCTGCTGAGCGCAACGAAATATAGGCAATATTTTATTACGTGCTGCTCTTATGTGCTGAAACACAGAACACTTTCCTTTACTTAAGATATAATAAGCAACATCTTTAAAAAAAGGGAATCACCTATTAAGTGTCATAAAGCCTATAGGGAAAAATAATCATGTTTCAGTTCTCTCCGGAGCATTTGGGATGAATGTTGGACAGCGTCTGTCTAGATGATGTTATAAAATACATTTTATATCGAGTTATTAACGGAGAATTTTATATATGTGGTGTTATATTATAGATGTGTGCGCTCCCTGCGCTGGGTCCCTCCGTTGGTGGCAAAACCACTGGATGCCAATAATCGGTCGGTGAGTAAATTAATATGATGAATGAAAACACACAGGCATGTGCGTATAGACATGTGTTGTACTGCTGTACAGTAACGTGTCATTTGTTTGTTTTGGTTGTCCTATTTTAATAGTTTCGTGATGATGTGATGGTGTGCTTTATCTGCATGATTCTCGCTGAAGTGGGCGGTTTGAGTGACATTCGATTCGGGGGATGTTCTGGGGGCGGGGTTTGCTGACGCGCTGCGAGCTACTAGCCCCACAGTGGAAACGCGACATGATTTCGGCCTCACTGCTCAACCTCCTGGGCGATTGGCCCGGCCTGGCCCGATATAAGCCCTGGCTCGCACTGGCCTGATAGTGGAAATGCGGCTAATGCTTCACCAGCAAGAAAACAGTTAAACTGACAATCAGCAGCACAAAGATAAAGAATGAGCCTCCTGCATTCGGCCTCTTTACTTTCTCTTTCCTTTTACTCTTTACGCTTTTACTTTCTTGGAGTAAGAAAACTCCGCTGAAGACATCCATTAGCCTACATCTTTAATTTCATTTGTTAAGCACAAAATGAATAAATGAACAATAACAAAGTGTGGTCAAAATTATTATATATATATATATATATATATATATATATATATATATATATATATATATATATATATATATATATATGTTATATTAGAACACACGTCCTATTCTTATGTCCCATGCGGTGATTTATACGTCTCTAAAACCTTACAGACAAATATGCATATAATAAATAATACTGCTAATAATAATAACATTATACAAATGCAAATTGTAATGAATAAACTGAAAAAAGAAACTGCCTTTATAGACCAGCACACACAAAGTAGTCCACAAAGTAGCACAAATGGATTTGCTAAAATTGCACGGGTCTGAAAATAACAATAAATCGTACTAAATATGCCTCGCACCTTATTGCGCCAGGTGTGTGATGGGGCCAATTCAGTCCCTTAAAGAAGGTTTCAAGGAACACAACCCAAGGCTTTTAAACAGTACTTATATCAAAAAAGAAAAAGATTATCTCCAGGGGTCTCATGTACAAAACCTTGCATTGAATTAATACTAAAACATTGCATTCGGACAAAGCTGTAAATGTGCGTACGCAATAAAAAATTCAGATGTATGAAACACTGCGTACATGGAATCCCACGCATAATCTCTTTGTATGTCCGAATTAACGTAAAACTGAGCGCACGTGCATGCACGCAAAAGCCCTTCCTGCCTCCTCCCCCGTATAAATATGGTAATGACTCCACTTTGGCAAAACCTAACAAAAAAAAAATTGGAAAAAGCAAGCAAGAAGTGAAACTTAATCACAGAATGTGAATTGAAGGTGCTCCTATCGGAGGTAGACTGGAGAAAAACAATGTTATTTACAAGTTTGTCCTCCGGAATAAATAACCAAAAAATATATATATATATATAGAATGGGACTTTGTTAGGGTGACATAGCAGCACCACTCCGCTCTTATCAAGGCAGCGCCACCGGCATTTCAGCTGCCCAATCGCCCGCTCTACAACTGAACAAGTGCGAGTATGAGCATCATTGTATCCGTGCTCTTAGTCAGTTTGTGGGTTGTTGAGGGGGGTTAACATCCACGTCTTTAATGGATAACCGTGGTCTCCTGATTAATTAAATAATTACGCTCAATAAAATAAAAGCTTAGCTGGAATAATATCTTTAAATATACCACTTACCAAGAGGCCACCCATCGCGCACCCCTGAATCATGGGTTCACAAAGGCCACCTTGCCACAATATTTAAGCGCATTTAAGCATCACATATTATTTGCACATTTATTGAATGGAAATGTTTCCGATTCACGTATGCAAATTCCTCTTCAGATGGCACCTTTATAGCAATGTGCGTGCAGTCAATCGCTCCGATTACATTAGGAAAACCAGCGATCGCAGCAAATTGCGCTTTAATGTTTGTTTTTCCTTCGGTTTCGACCATTGACCATGTCCTCTAACAAGGCCAACACTGCCACTGCCATAGACTAAGGGTTGTATACATTTGCAAATGCTTTTATATGTTCTAAATCACATAATTGGTAAAAAAAAAAATATTGTGACAATTAACCCATTTTATGAAATACAAAAATTAAAAGCAATGATTTTCACATGTTGGTGCGATACTTTGAAGTGTGCAATTTAACATAATTGCCTCTAGGAGTCACCAAGGGGAAATTATACAAACACACACAAGAAATACACGTACGCCAGACATGAAGTTAACGCGGACCAATGTACATTCTCACGTTAATTTCATCATTAGTAAATCCAAACGTGATTGTGAAATCTGGCGTACGCAAAGTTTTTGTGCGTACGCAGCATTGATACATGAGGCCCTAGGACATTTGATCATTTCTAACAAATTCCAGATGATTTCCATGACTGGAAAACAACCCTGATCAATGCTACCAAGCTGACCAATCACAGACCTTGCACTATACATCATCGTGATGAGTAGGGTCGGCAAAAGGGTATGTGACTGTGTGAAGGCTACTCGACATTTGTACTTGAGGCAGAACTATAAATTAGGCTTTAATGTATCAACAGTTCTGAGCTTAGTTTCTTGTGCGGTGAGTGAGTTGTACCTTATCTTCGGGCCTTTATGTGAAGGCATGTGAAGGACCTTCATCCGCTTTTTGCCATCCTTTAGTTCAACATGTTCCACCTCTGGTTTGGTTCTAAATCCAGAGAACTGGCTTCCCTGTGCCATCTCCTGTTTCCCTGCTTTAAACTTGCCCTTACTAGCATTAACATTTCCTTTCTGCAAGAGACCTTTCGTTTTTCCTTTAAGCTGCTGTGGCTGTTCTGCTTTTTGGCTTCTGTCATGTTTGAGTCCCTTCTATGAGGCAAAAAAAAGACTCAATTTATGAACATCTGAATTCAAAATGAACAAGTATTTATTTCTTAAATACATCCAAGCCTCACCTTGCTGTTTTCCAGACGAATGGCTTTAATTTTCAGCTTCCTGCCATCCTCCAATGAGAACTCCACTATAGGCCTCTGATGTCAGCGACACAGGAAATAACATCACACATTCGCATTTAAACATTTGGTCTTAGTTAATAACTAGACCCCAGCTAGCTATTGCTCAACACTAAACATTTTTTCCATTTTATATTAGGTGAAATACCCATGAGTCTTAGCCACAAATGCCATGGAACAGAGCGATTCATCTGATTTTTGAGAAGTTGAGTTAAAAACAGATAACAACACATTCCGCGGGCGACTAAGGAACTTTAGTTTGTTCATTATTGTGTCCTTTGTCCAGCTTTGAAAAACACTGAAGCACGACTGCTGTGATCCTAAAGCCCTCAATATATATATAATATTTCAATATTTATAAACCGGCAAGCTATAGTAACAAAATGGAAATAGTCTGAAAATAGCTGAAATACATCTAGGAGTTAACAAAGCTGCTTATTTATCTTTCTAGGAATATTTTAACTTGATAAAATAACAAACAGGTTATCAAATATCCCGTCTAATAGAAAAGAGTGGGCAAAAATTGGCTTGAACAAAAACAAAGTCGTGGTGGTCTACCTTTTGCGGTCCAAAGATGTCTGGGTTGTTGTTGAGGTGACGTAGGGCTTGTATAGCATGTTCGTGTTCTTGAAACTCCACAAAGCCATATCCTAGAGATTGACCCATCACCTGACCCTTAACCGGCTTCTTGTCATACATTATACGACACTGAAGACACATAAAAATAGAGAAAGAGACCGTCAGGAAATGAAAGTTATGTGATGATTTGGTTATGCTAACAAAAGATAGCATATGCAATCCTGGACCACTAAACAAAAGTTAAAGTGTCTTTTTTCAAAATTGAGATTTAAACATCAAATAAAAGCCAAATTAATAAGCTTTCATAAATTTTTACTGTATTATGATGGGGAAGGATAGAGATACAGCTATTTGAAAATCTAATATCTGAGAGTTAAAGAGTCCCTATTGTGGGTTTTTGAAAATGACCTTCGAAGCAGTGTGTAACACAAATCAAGTGTCATATCCAGAGTGCCATGTTTAAAACAATTGATTTGTTATGCAAGTAGCTTATTTAAGAAGACAGGGCAGCACGGTGGCACAGTGGGGTAGCACAATAGCTTAACAGAAAGAAGGTCGCTGGTTCGAGCCCCGGTTGAGTCAGTTGGCATTTCTGTGTGGAGTTTGCATGTTCTCCCTGTGTTGGCATGGGTTTCCTCCAGGTGTTCAAGTTCAAAAACATGTGGTATAGGTGAACTGGGCAAGCTAAAATGTCCATGGTAATTGTGTATGGGTGTTTCCCAGTGAAGGATTGCATCTGGAAGGGCACCCGCTACGTAAAACATATGCTGGATAAGTTGGAGGTTCATTTTGCTGTGGCGACCCTAAATTAATAAAGGGGCTAAGCTGAAAAGAAAATGAATGTTTATGAAACTGTAGAGTGATGCAAAAAAAATAACTTTGAATAATTTTTTAAGTAGTTTGTTAATGTTAAAAAATGTAACATTTGAATTTTTTTATACTGAATGTACTGAAAATATATTTTGTTTTGCTAAAATAAATACTTATTGTATTTGACTGCAAACTATTAATATTTATTTTATTAATATCATTATTATTTTATTATTATTATTTATTTTTTTTGCTTTAGCAGCTCTCATACAAAACCCTTTATTTTTGTGTTTTTTTCCAGGGTATTGTGGATATTTTATTAAATGGATAAACATTATTCTGTTAATACATTTATTCTATGCAAAAAGCAACCTAAAGGTGTGACTACAACCTCCAAAACATGTGCATGATCATTTATTCACATGATAATTTCAGGATCTTTTGCATTATATTTTTATTCATGAATTGCCCAGTATAATTACTTTTGTTGTTGTAAAACATTTGTGTAAAAAAATTACCTGAAGTTTAATACACCTATATGTAAAATCATATATTTCAGATAGTATAAAAAATCTATAAAAAACAACAACTGGTAAACAGTTCAAATTCTGTATTAGGAAATATGAACTCATGGGAAATAAAGCAAATAAATCAATGCATAAAGTTTTTATAAAGTATTTGATTGTTGTAGTACTTTACATACAAATCTTTACAAAAACAAACACTTTTTTGTGGCATTTTATTGAAAGATCTGGGGGCCGCTCTTCGTACCTCGGTTAAATGATCTAAGATGATTTGGCAGATCCTTTTAATCTTGATAATATATATATATATATATATATATATATATATATATATAAAAACATCAAACAGACTAAACACTGTCCTCTAGTGTTAAAAGAAAAAAACTGCAACTACTAAAAACTGTAAAATCAGCCCAAACAAACACTAAGGATAGAGTGTATTAATAAAGTGTGTAAAGGATAGAGTGTATTAATAAAGTGTGTAAAGGATAAAGTGTTTGTTTGAGTGCATTACCTCAATGATGCGGACCCCTTTTCCACCAGCAGCCGAGACGCAGAGATTGAACAATTTATTTTTATCAACACTCTTGGGCAGATTGTGAACACACAGCCGTGTTTTAGACACATAGACGTTAATATCCTTTAATCTTGCCCGCTTCAGCTCTTCAAACTGAAAAAAAAACACACACACACACACACACACAGAGAAGGGGGGAAAACTGTTAACTAAAAACATAAAAAACAAAAGTCTGTAGCCCCCTTTACACCTGGCATGTTCATACAATAAAAAGACCAAATAAAAATTGGTAGCTTTTTATAAATCAGTCAAGGTGAGAACGCTTCCATGAAGCAATGAGCTTAATCTTATTTTAAAATATAACTTTAGCACAATCTTTATAAATATCTAAATTACTTATTTTTCAATAGGAATCAAAATCATATCTGCTCAGAATTAATAATTCAATCTATTACACAGACACAACCGAAGACACCATGCCAGGTTTAAAGTGAGTTTTTATTTACTTTTAATTCACTCTAAATGTAGTATTGATATCAGTGCATTTAAATCAGTGTCACTGTTGACAACTGAAATCTGCAAATTTACTTTAACAACTTATATTACAAATATACTATTACAACTTATAAAACTTAAAGAGCATCTATGATGAAAATCAACGTTTGTAAAGCTGTTTGTACAGAAGGTATATATTGGAGTGAAATAAACCCAACAAGTCTTTTTTAAATTTCCTGACATTGAAATAGGATTCAAATCCCAGTGATTTTGAGGTGCCATCTTTCTATATTAACATGTACAATTGTCCACAGAACATTCTTTGCATAGAAACTGAGATTAAAAATATCTGTTCCAACTCAATTTTTGAGTTGAGTCAAACTTTAAAACTTTTTAAACAGAGCATGTTTGTAATAAAGACAGTAAAATCTCTATGTAACTCTTATTCGCTATAATCACCATGGCTGCAAAGTAGGGCTGTGCAATTTGGGGAAAATTTCTAATTGTGATATTGCAATTTCGATTTGATTTGCGATTTAAATATGTAGTCAAGCTTCAGCTCAATAATCTGTATCTTAGATTCTTACTGCTAAAATGCAGTGAGAGCAAGTTAAAAAAGGAACAGAAAAGATATTAATTTACTTAAACATTTATTTAAATTTGTTTCTAAATATTCAGAAATGAAACACTCATTTTTCTCTAAAGCAAACAGTAGTGAGTTTTAGTGTTAGTTATCTCCTGGTGCCCTCGTGATGTTTTTCATATGGTGTAACAGTTGCAAACAACTCTGAAATTGTACTTTGCTGTTGCTAGCTACTAGATTGAGCGTCACTGCCAATACTTTTAGTTGACTTTTTAGCAAGACACTCCTCATATATTCCGCCTGTGCTGTTTTTTTTTTTAGGTGCTGGCTGTTGTATTTCCTCGTGCTGTGGCAACAGTTCTGCGACAGCTCTTACAAATGACCTGTTTTTGTTCGGTGTCTGTGACTTTGAAACTTAATATTCCAATATTATGACATGCTGTTTTTCTTTGATATGAATTCATTTAATAATGCTTCTGAAGCGGCAGACGCCATCATTCATCTTGTCCGTGCTTTCCTGCTTGTTTTATTGTGGGGTTTTTGCATAGTTCGGATGAGCAATTCTGATTGGGCAGAACGAAAGTGTGCTCACTCAATTGGCTAGCAAGTCTGTCACACATTTGCTCTGGGTGGGGAAAAAAAAAAAAAAAAAAAAAAAAAAAAATATATATATATATATATATATATATATATATACACACACACACACACACACACACACACACACACACACACACATACATACATACATACATACATATACATATACACATATATATATATATATATATATATATATATATTTTTTTTTTTTTTTTCCCCACCCAGAGCAAATGTGTGACAGACTTGCTAGCCAATTAAGTGAGCACACTTTTGTATATATATATACACATTTAATATTGGAGCCTTTTCTGATTAGTTAATCGCAACGTTGAAATCGCGATTGACATTCTATAAATCGCAAATCCCTATTGCATAGTGTCAGTAAACGTGCATATGTGTATGTGTGTACTGCAAACGCAATTTGTGTGTGACTCATCATTTCAGTAATGCTTGAATAAACTCCACCACAATTACATGAAATAAACTTATTTGGAATTTTTGACTAATGAGCTGTATTTCAGCTTCATCCGTGTCAGTCTCTGTTACTGACTGCTGTTTATATGATGTAACAGTAGAAGCAGATACGCAAGTGGGAGCAGTGTGCGGGGAGAAGCATCTCATTTGCATATGAAGCCACAGGCTGAAAAATACAGCTAAACTGTACTCGGACACCAAAATGGGCAGATTCTGGAGGCTATAATAAATAATCTGATCGGTATTATGAGCTGAAACTTTACGGACACATTCTGGAGAAACCAAAGACATGTTTTACATCTTGTAAAAAGGGTAAAATAGGTGCCCTTAAAAAAATAATAATAAAATAAAAATTCACAATTAAATCTGAACTCATACAATAAAAGCTAATTCAAAATATATTAAAAACTAAACTATAATACTATGTGAATAATTGCAGTATAGTGTAAATAACGTGATAAAAACAAAATTGTTTGTACTAACTCTTGTCCTTTTTGCAATGTCAGCTTCTGAAATTCCCTCTGCAGCCTTGGTTCCGGCACGGATCACTGGATGGATTGAAGAGTTAACAGGTTTAATCTTCTCTATTATTGGCTAATTCTGTAATTGTTCGATGTTTAGTAATTGGCTTTACTCACAGCCCTCTCTGGCCAGGTAAAGGTTTCTAGAGCCGGTGTGAGTTTTCACTTTCTTGTCCTTAAATTTGGCAGCATCGTCTCTGTTTATAGCCATCAAAATGTTCAATCTCCTGCCGTCCAACTTAATGCCACTGAACTGAAATAAACATAAGAGTCAGCACAAAGATTCAGTTTACTAGTAATGATAAAAATTTAGATAAAAAGGAGGATTGTATAACCTCTTTTTCATCTAGAGCAGCAGCGATACATTTCTCTGCAGCTTCTTTACTTTTGAACTGAGCAAAAGCACAACCTATACAGAGACAGATGTGGAAAGAGAGAATTATTATGTTGAATGAACTTCACATGCAGGCTGGTGTTTTTGGTTATTGAAAATACCTTTTGAAACTCCCGTGTCAGGGTTCATCACCACACGGACATAACTAAGCTCGCCAAACTGCAGCAAAACCTCCTCCAAACCCTCTTCTTCAGAGTCAAATGACAGGTTTCTGACAGAAGCCATAAAGAAATGTGAATTAAAGTACACATGAAATCAAGATGAACCATATTGATTTTTTAGCTCACATTACTAGTTTTGTGGTGAACAATTCATCTGTTCACGTCATTAAGAAAAACTAAATAGTTTGTCCTTGTAATCTAAAATTGAAATCTGAAAATGCAAGCCTTGTTTGTTTTCAGTTAAATCCTGATTATGGGTGCACTCACACTATGCTATCCAAACCATGCCCAGGCGCGTTTCCCAGTTCGTTTGACAAGTGTAAATACTTCGAATCGGGCACAGGCACAGTTAAGTTGGCCGATCCTGTTAAGGTTGAAAGATTTGTGCCAGAGTGAGGTATGCTTGTAGTGTGTGCAAAGCACACCTGAGCCCGAAACTGAAGACGCAACATCAATTTTAAGGGACCGTTTCATATGGATTTTGACTTGTGGGGGAAACCGGAGTACAGGGAGAAAACCCAACCAGACACGGGGAGAACATGCAAACTTCACACAGAAATGCCTACTGATCCAGTGACCTTCTTGCTGTGAGGCAACAGCGCTACCCACTGCGCCACCAGTAATGAATTTGTAATCACTTTTTTTTCCAAAGTAATTTTAAAACACATTTTAACTGATCTGAAGTCAAAACTAGATTTACAGAAGTAATATAGAAAATATTTCCTCTGATCCATACATATAAAAATGTAAACCGTCTATTAAATCGATTTTTAGTAAGACATTTCATTTTTTGTTTTTTAACATGTGTTTAGATATCCAAGTAAAATAAACCTAATTCATACAATTTATCCAGAGTTATCTTTTAAAAACAGCCTTCCATTATCAGCGTGCAATGGAGGAGGAGAGTGGTTAAGAATATTGTGGCTGAGTCTGTCAAACTGATGAGGGAAAAGAGAAGGACCGCGACTCCAAATGTGGAAGAAACTGCTCAGAATTTGATTGAAAATGATCAAAACAAAAATAAAAGATTCAACTACAAATAACAATGGGCACTAGTAAAATAAACACTGTAAACAAAAATATAAATTTAAACAAATAAGTAATCAAAAAATTTAAAGAATAAGAATAAAAAGACACAGCAAACTAAACGAAACTAACAAAACAAATAAAATATTTGATTAAAATGAAAAATGTATATCATACTTAACTTTGCACAAGTTAACTATATTTCAAATAATATTTAAGACCCATTTAAAAATAGAAATTTTTTGACAGTAAAAATCTAATCATCATTAAACAAGAAACTATACAGACTACTTTAACATTTTAGGAGGGGGATCCCTCACATACGATTTATCATCTGTGGGTCTGCATCTAAACGAATAGCCTGGTTTGCATCATTTATAAATGGAATTATAACATATGACAACAAAGCAACTCATCTGTTTCTTGGTCTCAACAATGCAGTTTTGACACAGTGCAGTTTTTTTTTTTTGAGAAAAATAAGTATATGATTTTCACCTGATGAAGATGGTTCTTCCTTCATTCACATCAGAAGGAAGAGGGTTTCTCTTCTTCTTTGAAGGTGCTGAGGAAAGTTATTAACAGAGTCACAATGTTAAAGACACTCTACAAGCATAATATGATTTGTAAATGGTGTCTATTTATAAATAAATAAGTCACTTTTTCCTTCACTGTCATCATCATCATCATCATCATCGTCGTCATCATCGTCCTCATCATCTGACTGTTGAGATTCATTTTCTGCATCATCCATTTCACTGCCACTGGAATCATCATCATCATCATCATCATCATCATCATCATCATCATCTTCATCCTCTGACGAGTCACTTTTCTTGGATATGGACCTAATCACAAGACAGACATTGTTAAATTTGAGGAATCAACACCTTCAAACTCATCATCTGCTGCACTTCCTGTACCTACTTTTTCTTTGCGTCTTTATTTTCATCAGCTTCTTCAACTTTTCCAGTCACATTCTCTTCTTTGATATTTCCTGCAAGATATCCAGACACACTTCTGAATAAATGCTGTTTAAACACTTCTTACAAGAATAAATATGCAGTCTGAGTAAAATTTCAAATCACCAGCTGCTGAAGCTGATTGGGTGGCGAGATACTTGTCTTTCGCTATTGCCCAGTCCACCGCCACCTGTCTGTCTGAGAGAGAAGCAGCAAGATTTTATTAGTGACAAAAAACTAAACTGTCCAAATATACTACTGGGTGAAAGTTTGAAGACTTCGTTTGAAGTTTTAAATTACAGTAAACAGCACTATTTTGAAAAACATAATAATAAAATACGAGAAAATATATATAATATATAATAAAATATATTATAAAATATATAATAAAATATATATATACACACACACACACACACATATACACACATATATATACACACATACATATATATATATATATATATATATATATATATATATATATATATATATATATATATATATATATATACACGTATTATACTTTATAATATACTTTATTTAATTACATTCATTCATATGACGTCTTCGATGTCATGAAATCCTTATTAGTATATACAGGAATCAGAGAGTAAAATTCAATACCTTTTAACACTTTTTAAGACTCTTTCCATACATTTGTAAGACCTTAAAACCACTGTAGGTTTCAACAGGAGACACTGGTGAAATTTTAACAGTATATTTACTAAATATTTATGTAAGAAACTAATCCAAAACTAAAACATTCAAATACTGAATGAAAATCTTTTAAATCTAGCTAATTCAGCAGGTTGGCATCTATAGAACTGCAGAAACAATTGTGTTGCCTTGAATACTGCAGTAAGCAAAGCAGCGTGATGTCAAATCTAGCAGGATTTTATTGATTTCATAAACTACACAGCATCCAGTTATTCGCAGATTTAATTCAGGCAAACTTTATCATACAACCAATTTAATACCTTGCAAAAGAGCATTTAAGACTTTTAATACTTTAAAGTAAAATCAAATAAACATCATTCTATTGAACTCTCTATTTATGAAAATATCCTAATAAAAAAATGCAAGAGTTGCCTCTAAAAAAAGACAACAAAAGCAATTGAAGATATAAACAAACAAAAATTAATAAATAATACAAATAAGATGTGTTATTAACAAGAGAGCAGCTAAAATATAGAGCAGCTCAAATCATTGACAAACTACAAAGTTGTACAGTTAAAGTTAGAATTATAAGCCCCTCAGAATTATTAGAGCGCTTGTTTATTTTTCCCCAATTTCTGTTTTATGGAATGAAGATTTTTTTAACACATTTCTAAACATTTTAGTTTAAATAACTCATTTCTAATAACTGATTTATTTTATCTTTGCCATGATGACAGTAAATAATATTTTACTAGATCTTTTTCAAGACACTTCTATACAGCTTAAAGTGACATTTAAAGGTTTAACTAGCTTAATAAGGTGAACTAGGCAGGTTAAAGTAATTAGGCAAGTTTTTGTATAACAATGGTTCTGTAGACTATCGAGAAAAAAATAGCTTAAAGAGGCAAATAATTCTGTCCCTAAAATGGTGTTTAAAAAATATAAAACTGCTTTCATTCTAGTCGAAATAAAACAAATAAGACTTTTTCCCAGAAGAAAAAATATTTTCAGACCTACTGGGAAAATTTCCTTTCTCTGTTAAACAATATTTGAGAAATAATTAAAAAAAGAAGAAAAAAAAATCAAAGGGGGCTAATAATTCTGACTATATATTTAGCCCCCCTTTATTTATTTACTTATTTTTTTATATTTCCCAAATTATGTTATGCGTCTATTAAACAGTAATTAGGGAAAAAATAAACATGAGGTTAATAATTCAGGGGGTCTAATAATTATGACTTTAACTGTATACATATATTTTGATTTTTTTTTTTTTTTTAAGAAAAATTAGTTTTTTATAAAGGGTGCTTTTTCTCTTTTATTTAGCATTTAAATTTTGGTGGACATTGAATTATTTAAGGTCACCCAGTGGCCCTGATGTGGAGAAACTCTCCAAAAGTGTGTTTTATAGACAACTTACCTTTAATCTTCTTTCCGTTCATCGCAGTCAGTGCTTTTCCAGCTTCTGGCATGCGCTTGAACAGCACAAATGCAAAGCCTCTTTTCTTCCCATCTGCACAGACATAATGATAGAAACTAACCAAGATGGTAGACTGTATGAAAAACTGAAGACATGCTTTTAAACAGTCGCATATACTTGGTCAAACTTTTACCTGGTTTTAGGGGAATCTTGGCCTCCAGCACTGTTCCAAACTCAGAGAAGATCTGTTTCAGATCATCTTCTTCACACTAAACATAAACCACATAAATCAATTTAACATGCTGAAAGTCAAAACTCTGCATTGTTCCTTTATATTTAGTCGATTTACCTTAAAGCTGAGATTTCTGATGATCAGCCGAGATTTCAATTTGATCTTTCTTATGCCTTTAAACTTTTCAGTACTGGTGGTTTCTTCTGCTTTGTGAGGTTCCTCTGTATCTTCTGGATCTGCAAGACATTTTCAGACACATTTCAAAATTGTGAAGAAAACCTATACGGCAGATGGAATTTCAACATTACCTACAAATAGCAAAAGTTAAAAATGAGATCTCAAATGAGAATTCAAATTACCTGCTGATTCGGTGTTTGATGTAGTCCAGTCCACTTCCACCGGTCTGTCTGGGATAGAGAAACAAACATTTCAGCAAAAGTAGCAAATACACTACTGGATCCAAAGTCTATAATAACTGCAATAAAGATTCTGCAAACCGAGGCTTCATTCAAAATTGTGAAATATTATTATTACTTATTATAATTATTAATTGAGAAGAGCTGTTCTCTATCTGTCTGTCTGTCTGTCTATCTATAACACATTTTTGCAGCATTTACTTGTGTCAAGAGATACTCCAGATATCATTCTAATATAGAATATAAAATATATATTTAATATATATTTTAATATATATTTCAAATATCAAACATTCAATAATAAAATGAGTTTCCACTAAATTGAGTAAATTAATAACAATTAGTATAATAGAGCAAAATACTAACTGATAATAATAATATTGATAATAATTCATGTAAAATATGTAAAATATTTAAAATATAAGGAAAATGTAAAATATATGATATTAAATAAATAAATGAAAAATATAATAACAGAGCACCAAAAACTGATAATAATATTTATAATAAATAATAATATTAAAAAGAAAAATATATATATTTTTCAAATATCAAATATTGATTCATAAAATGTGTTTCCACTAAATTATTAAGAAACAAAAACAACAGAATATAAAATAAATATTACAAATAAAAAACACTATTAATAAAAGAGCAGCAATAATTATTTTAAATAAACAATAAATAAAAATTATAATAACCGAGCACCGACAATAAATGATATAATAATCTTAATAATAATAATAATAAAAATATATATATATAAATTAGGAATAAAACACAACGTTAAACTGATTTCTGATGGATAATTACTAGGATGTAGTGATTCCAGATGTTTCAAGAACTGTTGTTTTACTCACTCACTCAAAACCCGCAGCAAAAAAAGATACAAGTTGAAAAAAAAAAAATTTCCCCTTCAAAACTAATGTAGTTATTTTTTTAAAGCATAGACAATATGTTAAATCATGTGAATAAATGTCACCTAGTGGCTCTGATGTTGCAAAAGTGTTAAAGACAACTCACCTCTAATTGCCTTTCTGTTCATCGCTGCCCGAGCTTTTTCAGCTTCAGACACGCACTTAAACTGCACAAATGCAAAACCTTTTTTCTTCCCATCTGCACAGACAAAATTAGAACAAACCAATGTGGAAGACTGTTTAAAAGAAGAAGAAATGCTTTAGACACTTCTTTTTGGTCAAACTTTTACCTGGTTTTAAGGGAATCCTTGTCTCAAGCACTGTTCCAAACTTAGAGAAGATCTGCTTCAGCTCATCATCTTCACACTGAACATAAACCACAAGTCAATTTCAGTCAATGTTGAAAGTCAAAACTAAGCATTGTTCCTTTATATTATGTATAACATCACCTTAAAACTTAGATTTCTGATGATCAGCCAACCGTTTTCTTTTTTCTTCGTTGGGCTTGGAATCTTTTCAGTGTTTTTTGTCTCTCCTGATTTCTGAGATTCCTCCGTATCTCCTGAATCTGTGAAACATGTTCAGTATTCTTTCAAACCAAAAACAACAACAGCTCAGGATTAACAAAGTAACAAAATAAAAAACCTTTATTAGTTTTGGCATTTTTTTTCCTTTTCTTATCATCAAGTTTTTTCTTGGCCACAGTTACGAATATCTTCTGGTCATCATACAATTTGACTTCTTTTAATGCCCGCTGTGCATCATCTTCCATGGAGAACGTCACATATCCAAAGCCACGGCATTTTTTCTCTGCAAACAACAAAACAGCACATGTTGACTTTTTTATTAAATCAATAGACAACTCGGTGTAATATATTCAATCAAATTACATCTGTGACTATTTTTTCCTTGAGGCTGAATCGTCAAAACAAAAGTATTTGAAGAGTTTAAATGCAAAAACCTCTAAACGCCATCTGAAATTTTCCTCTAAAATAAGCATTTTTATCAGTCTCCTGTGTGTATGTTTAGTAATATCATCATTCTTTTATGGCAAAGAATAAGTAATTTTCCTGTTCTTTAAAGTGAAATATCTTAACATGAACAAAAGAGGTTGAGAAAATTTGTAATTTTTTTATGGAAATTTCAGAAGGCACTTAGAAGTTTTTGCATCTGAACTCTTCATTTGATAAACATTAGTAGGGCTGCATCGATATTGCAATGTGCACATCTGGAATAATCACACATCAGGATATGCAATGTTTAGTCTCAATCTGAATCAATTATTAGTGTTCAGTGCCCACAAATAATTTAATCGCCGCCAAAATAAAATAATGCTTTGTGGAAATTTTTCCAGTCAGGCTTACTGTGCAAGACTCAGTGAGACATGGACATAAGCAGCTACTTTTAAAAAAAAAGTGTCAGTCACTTAAAGTCAAGTTTGCTACAAGTCCACCATATTAGTAACCATGGATCTGCAATTAATAAATAATTTTTTTCCAATATTGTCCTCCACATTGATTGTGAAAAAAACAACAATCGAGATAAAATAGTTGTGTCATATGCCTTTCCAGAAGTCTGCATACATTCCTTGAACCTTGTCAAAGTAAAATCATATAAAATTACTTTTGCACCATAAGACAAGCTTGATTTAATATTGTATTTATCACTTATTGTATTTATTTATTTATTTATTTATTTATGTTTTTTAGCGCAAAATAGCACTGTGCTGTTCTGTTTGCACTTTTAGAGATAGAGATAAAGTTGGTTTTATATTCGCACATTCGTTCATTTAGAAGTCTATATTGTTTACCATGTTACTTTGAATATTCGATCGGAATTAGCATGCAAGTGTGGCTTGAAAACAACATTAACCCTGTTTATTTGACTGTGAACAATGTTGTACTTTGATAGTCATTGGCTGCAAATATGATTTTGCTATTAAGAGTGTGTAAATAATACTTTTATGAAATTATATTATTAAGGGGAAAGTCCAAATGTGCAATTATAAAACCAACTTTACCTCTATCTTTTAGAGAAGGGAAAGAGCATGGACATGTAAAGTCATCTTTTAGCTTAAAGCGCATAAACAGAAACATTATACTTGCAAAAATGTGTTCAGATACGGTGGTAAGTGATTATGCACAAATCAGCCTGAGTAAATGGAAGTCTTTATTAAACTACCTTTTTGTCAGACATTCATTTAGCTTTACATTTTAAATGTGAAGCTACATTTAAATTTGAAAACTGTGGGGGAGCTGGTATGAAATTAGGTCCCCACCACTATCAAAAGCAAATCTACATCCCCTTGGTCTGAATTACAGTAGACCAGAAGCTGCAGAATTGTATTTATTTATACTATATTTATAAACATTTTATAGGCACCAGCCACTGGCAAATAATTTTACTTGTTTTATGGGAAAAAACTCTTAGTTATTCTTATTAAGATAGTTAAAAACAATATTTTACTTGATATAAGAATTTTAATATGTTTGAACTAGAAACAAATACTGTTAGACTCACCAGAAAACTGTCTAATAGAGCTATTCAAATTATCTTTTGAAACTGTATTCATATTGCAATATTTAATCACAGAAAATAAAATATCGCAATATCATGCAGCCCTAAACATTAGAGTTAAAACATTTGGTGTCAGTCATTTTTATATTTTGTAAAATATGTTTCAAATATTGCTGCACCAGATTTGAAACCGAAGACCAAGGTAATGATGGTGAAAGTTCTGTTTAGCCTCAAAATAATTTACTACAGTTTAAAAATATATTAAAATAGAAAACAACATGGTTTGTTTGTGTGTGTTAAGTTTAACTTAATTAACTAAATTAAGTTTAACTAAATTAACTTTCTGTTATTAGTTTTGGTTCCTTTATTTGATTATTATGGAATAATGTTAATTACTGTATATAATGTATACATGTTTGACAATTAAAACTATAGAAAAAGTACACATATATTTCCAATTCTAGTACTGTTTTAACATTAAATGTTTTCTGATATTTGATTTTTTTTTACATTAAAAGATTATTGTTTTTATTATTCGAGGGTTTCTTGTTCAAGCACACACACACACCTGTGTATGCCACAAAAACTTGACATTTATTGTTTAAATGATTATACTTTATATATTAATATTTTATTGTATATCGTCTTAATAAATACATGTACACATGTAAAATTGTTTGTCATTGGGTATTTCTGCATATGACTTCCCCAACAGGTTACAAATATGACATATTTGATGCATGTAATATAAATATGACAAATCAAACACATTTTCACAAACTCTTGTGTAAAATACATGCGGATTGGTTCATTAGATGGGTCCACATAAGAAAATTCAAGACATCAATCTCCTGCTAAATTTAGACATATATTTAACTAAATCTTACCTTTATCACAGACTACGAAGCAATTCTTGAGTGGTCCTATTTCAGAGAATATTTCTGCCAGATGCTCATTGCTGGCGGTTTCAGGTAATCTCCTGACAAATAAAGTCACCGCAGGCATTTTCACGGCGAGTTCAGCCCGACTGTTCTTCACAGCCTGCGATAGTCTCTAAAACAACCCGCTTGATTCCTGATTATGGTAGATATTGTTAAATATAAGCGCGTGGTTGTAGGATTGTAAACAGTGCAGTTGTAATAAGGCACGTTCTCTCACATGTTTCTGCTGTAGAGGAAGTTGTCAAGACGGAGATTCCTCGGTTGTGTTGAATATTAGTGCGGCTCTGCACTGCGAGAAACAGCACTGACACCTGCAGGACTGGAGAGAAGGTTTGTAGGTAACAGAGCTACTACGAAAGCTCAATGAAAAAGTTCAAAATAACCGTCATTATTGACGATATAACGTGACTGTTGTTTTGTGTTGTAATCTGTCAGTATTAGTCAGCTGAAGTCGGTAACCAGACCCATGGAGGACTAATCCGTTTAATAACTATTAAGTTGAAGAGTCGGTAAGTAAGAAACGGTGGAAATAAAAATTAGTTTTGTGATAGTTTTGTGCTGGTTAAAATATTAACGTTACTTGCTGCATGTGGATGCTATCCTTGAAATAGTTTACTTAGTAAATATATGCTATATTGCAATATTGAAAACAAATGTAAATTTTGTGACTTGGAAGAAACCATTGTTCATCTTTTTAGTGAATGTGTGAAACTATTTACTATTTATTTATTTAGGCCTACTATATGTAAAGACAAAATGTTGAAATTTGTTTAAATACTTTTGAAATACTTTTCTTTTATTACAACCCTAAATCTTGCATTCATTCATTCATTTTCTTTTCGGCTTTGTCCCTTATTTTTTAATCTTATCCACTATATGTTTTAAGCATTGAAAGCACTTCCAACGGGCATCACTGGCAACCATCCACACACACTCATTCACACACATAGATTACGGTCAAGCTTGCCCAATTCACCTATAGCACATGTCTTTGGGCTGTGGGGGAAACCAGAGCACCCAGAGGAAACCCACATGAGCATGGGAGAAAGAACATGCAAACTCCACACAGAAATACCAACTGGCCCAGCCGAGGATCGAACCAGCGACCTGCTTGCTGTGAGGCGATCATGCCACTGCGCCACCGTGCTGCCCATCTTGCATTCAATACTTTGTTAATCTTTTTATTACAAATGCTGTGCATAAGTTTTTTTATTCACAAGTGTAAATTTTTTGGAAAAGACTCCAATTCTGGCAATTTTTTAATTGATACAAGGCTCGCAAAATCTAGTAGCACAAAGTTCTGGGCTACTGTTTTTTTTTTTCAGTTAAGCTACCAAAATCTATCCACACCATGCCTGGTGGGCTATCTAGATTTTGGTAGCCTGACTGAAAAAAAAAAAAAAACAGTAGCCCAAAGATTTCGGGCTAACAGATTTTGTCAACCCTGTACTATAAGTCATATATTTTTTCAAAAATTATTTTCAGTGTATAACCTTATATAATTTCCCCTTTGTTTTTTTACTTTATTTAATTGATGTTTTTTTTTTTATCTTTTTAAAAATTTGTTATGCAGATTGTAACACCATCTCCGTATGTTTTCTAATGCATTTTTTTAAATTCTGCTGGTGTGATACCCTGATTGTTTGCCCATCCATCAATACATCCATCCCTTTATTTATTTATTCATTTATTTATTTACTTATTTATATATCTATTGTAAATTGCATTTTTTCCGTTTAACTACAACATTTAGTCATTGATTTAATGTGGCGCAGTGGGTAGTGCTGTTGCCTCACAGCAAGAAGGTTGCTGGGTCGCTGGTTCGAACCTCGGCTCAGTTGGTGTTTCTGTGTGGAGTTTGCATGTTCTCGCGTGGGTTTTTTCCGGGTGGTCTGGTTTCCCCCACAGTCCAAAGACATGCGGTTCAGGTGAAGTGGGTAGGCTAAATTGTCCGTAGTGTATGAGTGAATGTGTGTAAGGATGTTTCCCAGAGATGGGCTGCGGCTGGAAGGGCATCCACTGCGTAAAAACTTGCTGGATAAGTTGGCGGTTCATTCTGCTGTGGCGACCCCGGATTAATAAAGGGACTAAGCAGACAAGAAAATTAATGATTTAATCTGAACTGTATACCCTGGACTTGTTTCTCTTGTATAATATTGTGCATTTATATATATAAAAAAAATAATTAATTTTTTTGTGACACGCAATTAATTTTTTGTGACATGATTTGCTAATATAATATAGAGACAAAAAAAAGGTGCTTAGTCTATAGAGATGCTGAAAACAAGGTACATTAAATATATATGCAACAGCGTTACTAAAATTAACTAAAAGCAACACAAATAATATTTTAAACTATAGACATATATAGATATATAGTACTGCTATATGTAAATGATATAGGAACAAAATTGAGCAGTTGTAAGCAAATTACATGTAAGCAACTTCAAATTATGAAACAATGAACCTTCAGTGTGACAAAATGTTGTTCTGCTCCTGGTCACTAGAGGGCGACAACCTCCACTCAATTTCAATACAGGCCACATAATTTACTGCAAAGTCTAAAAGTAAAAGTACAGTCTATGAAAATGATTTAATATCACAAATTAAATATAGTAGTATTTGTATATAGTATGTTGTTTTTAAATAAATACATTAAAATTAATTTAATAATTAAAAAAAATGAACTGTGATTGTTTGCAACTTATGTGTAGTTTAAATGTGAAATTATCAGACAAAAGTGTTGCTCTTTAACATTACTGTATGTCACACACATCTTCTCTGCCCAAATGAAATCAATCCAGTGTAGAAAAATTATAGTTATTTCATATAATTATTGTTGACTTAAAGCGCACCTATGATGAAAATCATCTTTTGCAAGCTGTTTGAACAGAACTGTGTGTAGGTATAGTGTCCACAGTCATATTAGGCTGATATATACACAACAAGTCTCTTTTTTGTATACTTCCTGCTAAAAATAGCATCCATATCCCTTCCACTTTGAGGCCAATTACATAGGAGTGCGGTTTCTTTGCCCACCAAATTTATTGACAGCTGCGTATTAACATGTCTTCATAGTAACACGTATAATCATATCAACAAGACAGGACATGCGCAAAGCAACTGAGATTAAAAGATCTGTTCAGCTCTCTGCGATCATCAATCTTCATGTGATCAAGAAGGAGTTTTACAAGTTTAAGACATTGTTAAAACAGAATTTGTAATGTATTACAACAATTTTAGCGTCTTTACTATATCACTACAGACGCATGTCAGATCAATTATAAAAGAAGATGCTTCAATCCCGGTTTGTGGACGTTAAATCAAGTTTATTGTGTACAGATATCCATACAGCAGTGGATATACACATGTATCCTGTCACATTTGAGTGCAAAAACAGTGCAGTGTGTGTGCGTTAACATTGTAATGACATTGTGTGTGACTCATCGTTGCAGAAAGGCTTGAATTAATTCCACAACAAATAAATCAATAAAAGTTCTTACTGTAGTATTCTCACAAACATTACGTGAGATCTGCTTCCTTCATGTCTGTCACTGTGCTGTTTATCTGACACAGCCGAGGTAGATATTGAGGCAAACTCTGATAGGCGAGTGGGATCAGTGGACGGGGAGAACCAGCATTAAAGTCACAGGCCACAAAAACAGCTACATTGTGTTTAAAGCAGAAAATCCCAACATTCTAAAAGAAATAATAAATAAACTTATGAGTATTTTGAGCTAAAACTTTAAAGACACATTCTGGAGACACAAAAGACGTATCTTAAATCTTGAAAAAAGGGGTAAAATAGGTGCCCCTTAACACACACAAAAAAAATAATTATTTAGCTTACATGAAAGAAACTGCTTCAAAATTACTTAATTATCTAGATTCCTCTTATGTTAATGTGGTCTATATTTGTACCAGATCATCACACAGTGTGTTTTGTCCTTTCGATCTCCTTTGTCACCCCTTCCTGTAATCCCGTCTGGTAAGTGTCTTATCCCAAAGTGTGGGTTAATCTACCTCCGAAGGACAATTACCAAGATCTCTCTGTGTATCAGTGTGTGTGTGTTTGTGTGTGTGTGTGTGTAGTGAGCATTTTATAATCTCTGCTATGACAAACACAAGCACATGACATGATGGAGAGGGAGTGTGTCTTTTTTCTGACCTTGGAGAACAGAAAGCAAGAGAGAAAAACTGTGAGAGAAACCCAGCAAATGTTCACTGTTTTTGTGTCGCAAGCGGAGGAGAATTAGAAAGACTGAGAGACAACAGTGGTGGAGCAGAGACTGGCTTCAGGCCCAGTTACACAAGCGCCAAAGGAAAGGTTCTTACAGCAATGCAGAGCAACGTGTTTTCTTCGTTTATACACTCCCCTTGTAAGTATTACTTCAAGTTTTGTGTCATAAAGTTGTGTATATTATGTATTGGAGATCTGTGATGTCACAAAGGAGACTGGGATATTTCATTAATTCGCTTTCTTTTTGGCTTAGTACCTTTATTATTGAGGAGTCACCACAGCGGAATGAACCCCCAACTTTGCCAGCATACGTTTTACGCAGCGGATGCCCTTCCAGCTGCAACCCATCACTGGGAAACACCCATACACTCTCATTCACACGCATACACTACGGACAATTTAGCGTACCCAATTCAGCTATAGCACATGTCTTTGAACTTGTGGGGAAACCAGAGCACTGGGATATTTCATCTACATAAAATATTATTTTTTTATAATGCGTGTGGGGGCGTCCACAAAATATTTGCACCTGATTATGATTTTATATTCTTTGCAGGCTGTGATGAGAAATAATTATACCATTATGCAGGTGCCTGTAATTTTTTGGTAGCATGAATTTCACATACAACTAGAAAAATATGTCGCTTAAATATGTTTTAAACGGCTGGTTTTCTTTTTTCTTACAATTTTTGTGGTCATGTGTGAGTATGCGATTGTAACTCCACCTGTCCTACACTACGAGCTGGAATCAAACAAGCTACCTTCCGCATAGAAGTCAGTTGCTTTAACATGGAGGCTAAAGAGCATGACCTCTAGCGTCTGTCGCTAGAGCACATTTAGAGGTCAGAAGAGTGAGGTTTACCTGCCTAGCACTTACTAGCTGGCCTTTATTACACTCACCCCCCCTAAACCTCACTCTTATCCGGGTCACGGCATCAATGTAACCCTCCTGGTCCTACACCACTCAACCCGCTCCAAGCTGGGATCAAACCGACAACCTTTCGCATGGAATTCGGAAGACCAGAGCCTCTGTTACTAGAGCACCTTTAGAAGTCAGAAGAGTGAGGTTTACCTGCACAGCCCTTACTAGCTGGCCTCCATTACGCAATGCAAACAAGAATAAATTAAATTTGAGTGTTCACATAATCTTTAGTTCAGATTTTAGAAAATGTTACATTTTATAGAAAACATAGAAACAAAAACACATGCTGCACAAACTGTAAAAACAACTGCTTTAAATGTATTTTTGGGGTGGCATGGTGGCTCAGTGGTTAGCACTGTCACCTCACAGCAAGAAGGTTGCTGGATCGAGTCCAAGCTGGGCCAGTTGGCATTTCTGTGTGGAGTTTGCATGTTCTCTCCGTGTTGGTGTAAGTTTCCTCCGGGTGCTCCGGTGTTCCCCACAGTCCAAAGACATGTGTTATAGGTGAATAGAATAAACTAAATTGGCCTTAGGGTATATAGAGTGTATGGGTGTTTCCCAGTGCTGGATTGCAGCTGGAATGGCATCCGCTACATAAAACATGTGCTGGATAAGTTGTTGGTTCATTCCCCTGTGGTGACCCCTGATTAATATAGGGACTAAGCCAAAAAAAAAAACGAATAAATAAATATGCGGAATGAACTGCCAATTATTCTAGCACATGTCTTACGCAGCGGATGTCCTTCTATGCCTTCGCAACCCAGTACTTGAAAACATCCATAAACTCCCGCATTCACACATACTCATGCACTATGAGTCACAGCAGAATGATCCGGCAACTATTCCAACACATGTGTTATGTAGCGGATGCCCTTCCAGCCGCAACCCAGTACTGGGAAACACCTGTACACTCTCGCGTTCACACACACTCAAACACTACGGCCAATTTAGTTCATCCAATTCACCTATAGCGCATGTCTTTGGACTGTGGAGGAAACCGGAGCACCCGGAGGAACCCCATGCAAACACGGGGAGAACATGCAAACTCTACACAGAAATGCCAACAGGTCCAGCCGGGACCTTAACGAGCGACCTTCTTGCTGTTAGGTGACAGTGCTAACCACTGAGCTAGCCATAATAGGAACAACAACAACAATAATACTAATTGTGGCGAGGGGGCGTGGCCGAGAGCCGTGGGAACGGAGTGAGGCCACCACGTAAGTGGATACACCTGCGGTGCGCACCTGCCTCGGATCCCACGGCTCTCGGCCAAGCCCCCTCTCCACAATAATATTAATAATAATAATAATAATTTAATAAGTAGCCAAAAAACTTTTTTACATAACTGTTTTCAGAGCTCCAAATTATTATCACTCCATCCAATATAATATACTATGAAGCATACAGGTCTCAAACTCAATTCCTTGAGGGCTGCAGCTATGCACAGCTTTGCTCGAGCCCTAATCAAACACAGCTGATCCAACTAATCAAGCTGTTCAAGACTTCTGACTATGAAGCTGCGATCACACTAGAGTTGGTGTGTGTGATAAATTCTGTCGTACGGCGCTACAAAAAGGGGCGGGATTAAACAAGTTTAATAGACATAAAAAAAGCGAGCGATTGCTCCATGTTTTAAATTTCTGTCCAAAGAGGTCATGTTTTGATCTTCGATTGGTCTCACGCACTCAAGTGATGCGGTTTCGCAGGTCAGAGTTCACCAAGCTTGAACTTTGCACCGCAGCAACCTGCGAAACTTGACGCATGACCCTGTGTTTCCGGTCTGACGCATTCACTTGTGTATGAATGGAAGTCTATGGGAGGAAAAGTCCCAGTGTGACCGCAGCTTTAAGCAGGACTACTGACTATTATGGAGGTGGTTGGAGGTAAACTTTGCAGAGCTATGGCTCTCCAGGAATTGAGTTTGAGATCATTGCTTTAAAAGTGTGCTTCAGTTGATCATTAAATAGTATCTTCAGAAACTTGACGGAAACAGTGAGTCATCCATCTAAGCACAACTTGTGCTTTATAAATACTATAACATATTAATTCAGACTCGCATCCTGTTTCACCTACTGTAGTGATAATACGTTTGATTTGTGTTCAGTTCAATGAAGTACATTCCAGAATTCCAATCGAATCCAATCAAAAATATACTTTAACTACTTACTTACTGTTATACCTACTATATAGTATGTAAGTATTCAAACATGCTTGTCTACAGCACAGTTTCTGCTTTATAAATACTATGACATATAAATTCAGACTCACATACTGTACTCACATACCTACTATATAGTAAGTGAGTGTATTCCAACACGAGTATAACTACACCACGATAAATGTGTTCTGTATATTATCAAATGTACCATTAAACGCTGTAAATTTATGACTCCCAGACTCCCAGGCATCGTTATGTCATGCATGCATATTCATGTGTTTTATTTGACTGTAGATTGATGTAATAGTGCGCTATGTTTATGATCGCAGCAGGAGGCTGACATGTTGACGCAGATTCTCTGTGTCCTGTTAAATGGGTCATACAGTACATTTCTCTCTGTCTTTGCTGGAAAAGGCTGTAGGAGGGGAAGTTATGAAAGATATTTGTCTTGCGCTGATTTGAATGACAGGACAGCGTATTGCAGAGCCAAACACAACAGTGCTAAACACAGAGGAAAGACAGAGCACATCTATCTATCTATCTATCTATCTATCTGTCTATCTGTCTGTCTGTCTGTCTGTCTGTCTGTCTGTCTGTCTGTCTATCTATCTATCTATCTATCTATCTGTCTGTCTGTCTGTCTGTCTGTCTGTCTGTCTATCTGTCTGTCTGTCTGTCTGTCTGTCTGTCTGTCTGTCTGTCCATCCATTCATTGTTCTATCTATCATTCCATCCATCCATCACTTTATCTATTTTTCCATCTATTCATCATTCTATCTATCGTTCCATCCATCCATCCATCCATCCATCCATCCATCATCCATTATTTTATCTATTGTTCCTTACATCTATCCATCCATCATCCATATATCTATCTGTCATCCTATCTATCCATCATCCTACTTTCTATCTATACATCTATCTATACATCCATCCATTGTTCTATCCATCCCTCTATCTATTCATCTCTTTATCCATCCATTGTTCTATCTATCTATCTATCTATCTATCTATCTATCTATCTATCTATCTATCTATCTATCTATCTATCTATCTATCTATCTATCTATCTATCCGTCCACCGTTTTATCTATATTCCCTCGATTCATTCATCCATCCATCCATGCATCAATCATTCTATTGTTACATCCATCATCCATAATTCTACCTATCATCCATCCATCCATCCATCCATCCATCCATCCATCCATCCATCCATCCATCCATCCATCCATCCATCCCTTTATCTATTGTTCCATCCATGCATCATTCTATCTATTGTTTCATCCATCCATCATTCTATCTATATATTGTTCTCTCTATGATTCTATTGTTCCATTTATCATTCTGTCATTGCATCTATTGTTCTATCTCTCAGTATGTATGTAGATTGAAGCAGTGTTGGTGAATGACCTTGTCAGAGGACAGTGGAGCAGGACAGTGGGATATTGTATGAACCCACGCTGGCAGTGTGTTGAGTGGGAGAGTTCAGACTCATGTGATGAGGGACTGATGAATACAAATGATTTCTGTTCACCGTCTGAATCAACCCATCACTACTACAGACAGCAGAGCAGTTTCATTACCACTGTTGGTGGTCAGAAAATGCTTACTCTTACCCTTACCTTGCTCACCCTGACTAGATTGCCCTACATGTTGGAAATATAAAAACATATTTTAAAGCTTTTAGGTGTATTTATAGTAGACTTGATATTTTCTGCAAGCTACACTAAAAAGTATTTTGATTAATTTACTTTAAAAAGAAGTGGGTAAAGCAATAGCTTAGTTGACTTTACTTACAGTTTTTCTCCATTGGAAAAAAAACTCATTTCTTGAAACAGACGTTACATTCTCAAAATTATAAGATCATTTGGCAAAACAGTGTTACAGTTTAGCACAACACTAAAGCTCACTTGCAAAAGCTCATACCTTTCCCAAAACAGTTCACTCATGTGTCAAAACTAAATTTCCTTTTCATTTAAACAGTCAGTGCCCCCAAAGTGCTTCATCCCTTTAGCATTGTGTAAGCGCTGCAAGTTACAGTTTTTCTTGTTTGCTT